CATTATATCTCATCAAACTAACGCAATTTACAATTATATAAACATAACTTTCTTTAGTTTACTTTTTAGTAATGTACTAACTAACTAAATTCCGGAATAGCAGTAACGTAGAATTTGATGAAATGTTTTTGTTATTATTAGAAACGTTTCCACATTTCTCTAACGCCTTAAGTATTTTTTGAGCTTTGTTTAAGCTACAGAAGAAAGATGTACTTGAGAAGTTAAAGCTCGCTGGTACATAACATATCACATGTTTCCAACACCTAAATTATATAACCTTTTTACTCTTCACAATTATTTTTTCTGAATGAAAACATTCCAAAAGTTATTTCTATAAAGCTTTACAGAATTTCTTATGCGTCTATAGAATCTGACTTCACGGCCATTATTTTTATGGACGGCCATACAGACAGAAATAATGACAATTAAATAAAAAGAGCCGCCGCAACAGGCGCGACATTTATGACGCCTATTAGCTCGTGTGACTGATTTTTATTCATGGGAATTGACTCAATATCATCCAGTAGGCATTATTCTTTGTATTTCATTTGCATGAACGATTTTAGCCTCTGAATTTAACTTAATTTTAGTTCCATAACCTCCTAATCTTACTATCTTACTAATGTTATAAATGAGAACGTTTAGATGGAAGGATGTTAGAGTTTGTAGCCTAAACGGCTGAAGAGATCTCGATGAAATTTGGCATAGATGTAGGGGATAGTCTGGAAGAACATATAGGCTACTTGCTTTTGATTTTTTTTAATTAAGCGCGGACGGGGTCGCGGGCGAAAGCTAGTTACATACATAATTTGATGTTTTCTAAGAGGTCGGGAACTTTGTAGTTGAAATAAGTATTTTACAATTTTTCTTCTTTTTGAAGAAGGGAGTCTTCTGTCTGCCTATTTCATTCCTTACTTTAGTTGGTTTCCAATCTTCCTGTAGGCTTTTTTCTAAGACATAGTGTTTTGTCTTCCGAAATAAGTTTGACATTCGTACAATTTTTTTACCCTGTTTTAATTTATTTTATTATGCGTTAATTGGAACAATGTATTAAAAAAACAAAGTTTCTTTTTGTATGTGACATTTAAAATCTAGTGAAAGGTTTTAACTGCGAGTGTTGACACGCGCTTGAAGCTTGTTTTATACTTTTTAATTAATCAATTGCTTTTTGGTAAAATGACATTTAACAAAGTTTGTCAATCAATTAAATTCTCGTGTCCTTTATTAATATTCGGTTGACTGAAAATGATTTATATTTTAAAGTATTTGTCTTTATGAGAGAAACTCAGTGTATGAATTTCTATATTTAAAACAGGATACTTTAGCGCTCAGTAAATCATAACATTAAGCGAAGATTTTTTTCTAAGAATATGTCTTAAACGAGTCTTACCAAGGAATGAGACAGAAAATATTTTACGATGAGATATATGTTACTGTTCTTTAAACCATTCATTAATTCATCGATCTTTAAAGTTCACTGTCGTTAATAATTTCTTCAAGGTATACAGGATGTTTTACAAGACTGATGACGTAATAATACACATTATTTTGTTTTGACCAGTTTATTATTTGAAGATATTCACAATCTCAAGAGCAGGATACTTGCGATACAGGCTGTACCTAGTGCGGGGGTACTGATTACTACAATCATTTTTATTGTATCTACAAACAATGTTCTTCACCTTCTATATATTTATATTGTTGGATTCAAATAAATTATTTTTCATTTCTTCATTTTTCATATTGCTGTTACGTTAGTGCTTACTATTTAGGTATGACAATTACTTCAATAACATAAGAAGTATACTATAATAAAGGAGAAGCTGGCTTTATGGAATGACATAATGATTTAATGATCAAACTGAGCATGATTCACTTGATATGGATTGCTTGTCAGCGTTGATGCGACGCGTCGTCTGCACAGGAATGTAGGAAGTATTTCTTATAAATATAAATAGCATCAAAGAAAAAATGGATTAACAAAACATTGTGGGAGTCGATAACATATTTCGAGAATCAGGCTTATTATCATTTTTAAATATGCTTTATAGTGTAATCAAATTATAGTGTACATGTTTACAATCTTACTGTATAATATTATAAATGCGAAAATTGAAATGGATGGATGTTTGTAGCCTTAACACCTGAACGCATCTGGATGAAATTTGGCATGTAAATCATAGGAAGAACACATAGGCTACTTGCTGTTTTTTAATTTATTTAGATGGACTCACGAGCGTAAGTTAGTTTCTCATAAAGGTGCAGATGAGCGAATGTAATTTCTGTTATGTATACTTTTCTCAACATATTTGAGATTTTTCACGTGAATTGGTAATAAATTTTAACTTTTCATATCTTCCAAAATTGCTCATCCATCTCGCAATATACGTTTTCGAATCTTTTCTTCTTCCTATATTGTACGTGGGAGTAATAGCAAAGGATTTTGAGAGCAACGATCACTTGAACGGACATCTTGAATTTATTACACAACGTTATAAAACTACTCACGTTTCCAGAAATTGATATAAACAATTTTCAGAAGTGACGTGTTTAACCCTTTTCTTGGTAGTGTATCTGTAGAGATACATCAATTTTTTTTTCTAAACACTTTAGGTCATCAAGGTTAAGTGCTATGAATATTATTTTGATATTTGAAAAAATAAAATTCTGCCAAGTTAAGGGTTAAATGCACATCAAACAAATTATAAGAATTCTGATATTAAGGTGTCAAGTTATTTTTGTTGTCTAGCTAAGCTACATCCTTTTCTGGGTAAATGATCGAGAGTTTTAGAAGTCAACAAAAAAAAAAATTAAACTTGGAAATATCTAAGAGTTGACAACAGCTGAAAACATTTCTACTCTTGGAGATACAATTATAATTGGGCAGAAATGCTAATTCTGTGAACTTGTTAAATGCTTTGTCTAAATCTAATTAAATGCGGTTCAAATAACTTCTTTCTATCAACAAAACAATCAATAATATGGATGTAAGATCTCAAAAATCTAATATTTCTTATTATACTAATAATATATAGAAGATAACTTTGTTTGATTGTAAGGAATAGGCTCAAAAACGACTAGACCGTTTTTAAAATTTCTTTCACCATTTGAAAGCTACATTATCCACGAGTAACATAAATTATTTTGTAAAAAATTATTGGCGGGCGGAGCCGCGGGCCACTACTATTTAATAATAATCTGTTACTATACACAAAAAGACTAGTTCAGTAAGTGATTTCGAATATTAAAATGGCCTTTAAGTCCTGTGGCAAATGTCACTGACCGCAAAAGGTCATTGAAGATTTTGTGTGCATCGGAACTGCAGGCTATGATCAATATTTTATCACTAAATTATAGTTGTAAACATGATCCTTATTTATCATTTATGGTCCTTACGGGAACCGGACGCCAATCAATTATGAATAACAATTTTGACGCCCACATAAGTAAAGTAATTTTTGTGTCTGGAGGCTAGGCTATAAATTGGGTAAAATACGACTTTCATGTTTTTTAAAATCACAGGAGGAGGTAAATTAAGGACGAGATAGCGTCAGCTATTCAATTGTTCAATACATTTATAAGACAAAAAATGTTTGACGTTTTGTAATTTGTTTTTAAATTTAAAATTCACTAAGACTACTTACTACTGTTAGCTTTGCGCTGTTTATTTTTTTCTTACTTTATTCAAAGCTTATTCTATATTTTAATGCGTTTAGACCGCTACGAACGGCGCCATTCGAAGACATCGTGTCTAGATAAAATCAGATAGACCGCCGATCGTCAGATCGTGACTTCAAATCGGTAAAATAAACTACTGTTTTTTTTTTAAACTAGTGCAGCTTAAAGCTTATGTGATTAGTATTTTTTTCCTTGTTTCTAGCTAATTATAGAATTCTTGTTATTCGGTTATAATTTACTTAAATCGATTTACAACTTCTGCTATTTAGTCTTAGAATGAAGATATTTACAATTCAAGACTAATGTAAGAAATAATCTATTCAGATCTTCAAAATTCAGCAAAAATAGGGCTTTGCTACAAAAGCAAAAAGATTTAAATAAGGTTTTTTATTTCTTTCATTAACAACATATAAAGATTGGTTATACACGTGTGGTCTTCGCCCACGTTTAAACTAATTGATTGAGATTGATTTCGATTACTTTTATACAACGTAATAAATCTATACAAGAATTATCTATGCAACGAAACTGTTGATGAATTATAATATATGACCTATATAATCTGTCGCGGTACGCTTGTATCGACACGTCTAATATGCAAATAGAACGGGCGATGTGTCGAGGCAGATACGCACTTTAATTTTATCTGTCATGTTCACATATGAATTATTCAGCTCCTGTCTGTAGACGACAAATTTAATTTCCCCGCCCAGTCATCTGAACAGTGTTTTGCACCAGCCATGATAGTATAACCTATATCCAATATTATAGAGTAAGGTTTTTTATATGTAATGATTAAACTCGATAACTGTGTTGATTTTTTATTTTTTACTATTACAAAATTACCTTATCACCAGTAACATAGGTTTTATTTATTGCTAGTTTTTTTTTTAATTCCACGTAGACGAATGCGCGACTAAAGGCTAGTCTTAAGTGTCGAAATTATGTTAATCTATACTATTATAATAAAGCGTAAACACACACTTCTTTGTTACCTAAGATGTCAGAAATTACAGCATATTTTTGAATATTTTTTTCTTTAAAGAACAGCCCTACACTTATGTTATGCTTTAGGCTATATATTGTCACTATTAAACTTAAGGGGTAAATGTTTTGGATAAAAACCTTAATATGGGAAAGAGACCATAAGTTGCTGCCAACATCAAGGAAGCAAGATTAAAAAGGTTTGTAATGTCATGTCATTTTGACATTTGCTATTGATGATTTGACAAATTTGAACAATAAAATAAAATTTTCATAATTTCATGCGGATGAAGCCGCATGAGAACTGCTAGTAGGTTAATGAAAAATGTTTATTTAACTCCAGTTCCTAAAAGGCCAATCATTTAATTTACAATTAAGGTAATTATCATGATTAAAAACAAAGTAATCTACATATTTTGTAGCAGGAGTAAGGATAAATAATGTTTGCTGATTACAAGAACTATGTTCGCTTCAAGTTAAACAAAGTTCAGGCAGTCAAAGCGAATTAAGTTACTTTTTTGTCGCTACAACTTCAAGAGTTTACTCTTAATTATGCTTAGTTAGAGACGCTCTTAGTGTGTGCAAATGTTGGATTAACTTATTTATCCAAACTCTGATTGCAATTAAGAAAATAAAAAAAAGAGAAATTGCAAAGTAGTTTATGCTGGGTTGCCGAAGTTACCATTTATTTTATCATTACCTAAATTCATTAACGTTAGGTTGCACTAAGTTCCAATGGAGTGAAACTCAGTGCAACGTATTTCATGAATTTTTGAATTAAAAACACTTACGAATGGTAAGAAGTAGATAGGAACTGGGAAACCGGCCCTTAATCTTTAAGACTCAAAAAATGATTTTTGGTTTTCGTCATTCATAATAGCCAATAAGTTAGTCACTTTATACATATAGTAAAATTTTCTATGTGTAGTTGATATAATAAAACTTTAGTTTATTTTATTTATTAAGAGTTGTATTGAGGTTTATAATTAATTCCTTTGTAATAAAATTAAGTCTTCTTACTTTAATTGCAGAACCAAATATGGGTGTATTGTATCTATGTATTAGTACGAAGCATGCAAAATGCGGGCAAACTGTTAACTACCACAAGAAACAAAAGCGTCCTCGTATATTTTGCATGAACATCGGGGCCGAGATATCCTTGCGTTTACAATTCTATTCTTTGTGCAACCGTTGGTAAAAATTATTAAAAAACACTGTTATTTGTTACAAAAACGGACTGTTTTCTTTATAAAATAAATAGATTACATATATTTAACGGTGGTTGCTTTTTAATCACTCGTAAACTAAGAGATTGTCCCAAGTCAATTAAAAATTACTTTTCTAATAATCTAAAGGCTTTAGGTTTCGCTTCTCATTAATTTAATTACGACGACCTTCTTTTAGTTAGACTTTTATTGTTAAACTAGCTGTTCGCGTTCGTCTTCATCCGCATAAAATTAATTTTTTTTTATTTATTGTTTACATTTGTCAAAGTATCAATAGCAAATGTCAAAATGACATGACATGACAAACCTTGGCAATCTTGCTTCCTTAATGTTGTAAGCAACTTATGGTCCCTTTCCTACAATAAGGTTTTATCCGAGATATTTACCCCCTAAGTTTAATGGCGTGAAATTAAATAGCCTAAAGCGTGACGTAAGTGTAGGGCTTTTTAACAAAAAAACAATAATTCAAAAATATGCTGTAATTGCTGACATCGCTTTATTATAATAGTATAGAAGTATAGATAGATAAGTTTTAAATTAAATTGTGTTTATCCAGCCTTACATGTGTATCCCATTTTGTTAATTTTATCTGCAATTTAAGTGAACGCACAATTCTTTATAGGTGGCATAAAAGTAGACAGTAAATTACACTTGGCGCCAGAGACACGAGTTATCTTTTTAATAGTTGGACACATGTTCTCTCTATCTCTCTGCCTGTTTTGGTATAATCTGTATCTACATGATAAGTTATTTGTAATGCGTCATTAGTCGAAGATATTTTTTATTATTGTTTTTTTACTATTTAGCGTTAATATTTATATAGTATTATCATTTTTAAAAATATTTAATACACGATGCAATTTTGCTTTTGTAAAAATAGTTTCGCTGCTTTTAATGTCTGTTAATTACAAACATTTATTTTCAAATTTACCACAAGACACGTTTACTAAGTCTTATGTCTAAAGTTTATGAACTCAATCAATAATCAATTAACTTTGTGTTACAACACCTTATATCCTTATTTCTTTCACGTGATAAAGAACAATAAAGATAATAAAATAAAGAACATTATTTAACCATGTCGTACAAAGGCGACCTTATCCGAGAGGAAGATAGATATCTTGTAGTGAGGCATTAGTTAAGGAGATAAATAGGCTCCGTGTGGATACGATTACCGCCCTCGAATACATTACAAGAAATCCCGTTTCTTTAACGAAGATTGATGTTTGTATATACAAGGTATTGTCGCACTCAGGGACAATTGGTTAATGATACACTAAGTGTAGAACGATAATATTAAATCTACACTTTAATCACTCAATAACTATGTTAAAAATCTTTTCGATCAACAGTAGTAAATGATAATAATTCTTGTCACATAGTTCTTCTTAAAGGAAATCTAATGTTATTTCTGTCAAGTCTATGTTGTCCGTTCTCATATAACTTGGTAACATTATATTTAAATCAATATTCTATTATTATCTGTAGTCAATAATCAATTATAATCGATTCTTTTTTATCTATTCCGGTCCATATTACTAGTGATTGAAAGCATTAAATATGCGTTACAACAAAAGAATACAGTTTCCATGTATATTGAAGTCGTGGTTGTTTTAATTTTAGCGTTGAATGGTGGGTGTGTGCTTTTATAAAAAAATCCTTTTATATCTTGATAACGTCAATAAAACGTTCATATAGCGCCCCACCATTATCATAAACTTGGTGGATTCTTTTACATTGCATTAGTACCAGGTGCGGTTTTATGTGCGCGGTGTCACACGATATGTTCTTTAAGTATTTTTTATAAGCATAAAAAACGGTAGTAAGTTATTCATTAAAGAACTCTGAAAATCCGTACTGGGAATGTTAGAAACACATTAAGAAACTTCTTATCAAGTCTTGTCTCATAAATTGATACACTTTTTTCAATTTTGTTCACGCTTACTCTATTTTGTAATAACTACTTTGATTGGACAGTTAAGTCAGAAAATGATATGTCCCGTAAAACCCTTATACTGTTGTTACCCTTTCTTTTTTGAAAACAGACAGTTCATCTGAAACGCAGAACACCTTAACTTCACAAGTATACATTTCAATCATAAAGCCGACTACTTCGTACAACAGAAGTCTACAAATCTATACTAATATTATACAGAAGATGTATCGTTGTGTGTATTGAAATAATTCAAAAACTATTGAGCCTATTTCAAAAATTATTTTACCATTAAAAAGCTACGCTAACAGTGAATAACATAGGCTATGTTTTTTATTATGTTTTTAATTTTACGGGAATGAAGTCTCTAACAACAGCTAGTACGAAAATAAAGACAAAAAAAATACTGTCTATTACAGGTTCATATTTTCAGAAATCGTGACTTCCTTTTCGTTAACGTTCATGTAACAATTCTTGGTTCTACTGTCGAAATGATCAGTCACTTTCAAATCCGTTATTGCCTATACTGTTATGATTGGGTAATTGAAAATTAAGAAATTCCACGTTTCACTTTTTAGTGCAATTCCCTGTACTTGATATACAGTAAATACGCAACTTTGAGTAACGCTAAACAGCGCTTAAATTCGTTCATAGAGTTTTGTTATTGAATAATAAAAACGTTTTTATAGTCTGTTTTCTAACCTAAAAATATTACTTAGTAAGAATAGACGTTTAGATAAATAGGTCGCTATTTATACTATGTTAGGTCGCTAGTTTTACTGCATAGTGGTTAGTACCAATATTTATTATACTTTGAATATGAAAATATAATCGAAATAAATTTGTGCCGAACTGTCGCTTGCACAACGAAATGCCAATGTAATGACGGAAAGAAAGGCGAAAATGATTTAAGTATTACCATTTAATGTACTGGCCGTGTTAATATAATTATAAAAAGGAGCCAAATTTAATGGAGGCAAGCGTGAAAACGAGTGCAATACAATTGATTTTGATTGCGACGCTTGTTGATCAAGATATAGTTTACTTTTGTTGCAATTGGAACACATCGACTGAAGTTAAGTTCTTACTTTTATATTGAACTAGCTATCGCCCGCGACTCCGTTCGCATAGAATTAAATAAAACAAAAGCAAGCAGCTCATGTTTTCTTTTAGACTTTGCTCTACGTCTATGCTACGTTCACCAGTGAAGTAAGATATATGTAACTTCTTTTGGTAAAAATATTATCTTAATAGTGTTTGGAGTAGCATAAGGACGTAATAAAACACACGAAAAAACCATTAAAAACGCATTCCAATAAAAATATTCTAACGTAGAAATAATTTATTACATCAAAACCTACGAAAACACAGTCTATCTTAATCGAAACAATTAATGTTCTTCAAAATACCTCTATAAGTAAAAAAAAATCCTCGACGTTGGGGTGCAACGACATTATTGCAGTGTCAAATATTGCCAGCTAACCGGTATCAATTGCCGAAATTGATCGCCGATGTTGCCAGCACAGTTATATCAATTTTAACCGAAAGCTGCACCGAGAGCGTCGCGGGTTTGTACCCTTGCGGGGACATATTGCCGAATCTTAATGACATGTCGTTTATTTAGGACCGTAGTGACAGCCCCCTTGGCACGGAGCGTCGACATTTATTGCTTCGTTTTTTTCAGCCACTATCTTTGTTAATAAAATGTTAACAAAAAGAAGTGCGAAATGCTTAAAAGAAGTTTTTGATTTTTCTTCGTAAGTATAATAAAATTATTGAAAGCGTGAAATGCTATACGTAACGTTGAAAAAATCATAACAACCAATTCTTTATTTGGCAAAGACAAGAAAGTAATGTTTTATCATACACATTCTTTAGATCCGTTATTTTGTTCACTGGCAATAAAACCACGTAATTTGTTTATATAAGTGACTACCGGCTTAACCTTATTTAACTTTAAAGAAACATTAATTTAACCTTAATGCGCATATCTTAAGAAACTACCTTAAAAGGTGAGAAGATATGAATCAAGATCAAAAACAATCTTAACGCACGGAGTAATCTCGTTTATTATCCTACGGGAACCAGTAGCAGGGTCATTGACCTACAGTCACGAAATAACAATAAAAAATATTCGGGCGCAATAAAGCATGGAACCTTTCTTCTGACATCTAATAGTCCCGACTCAGACACCCCGAAGACCCTTAAGAACCATAACTTCATGCTTACTGTCAAAAAAAAAAGAAAAAACAATCCATAGATTTTTTTCTTCTAGTATCTATGGCGTCTCTGCTCGTTCCTTTGTCGAAATTTGTAAACGAATCATACTTTATTTATACCGTACTGACGTGAGCGTGGCCTAATCGATTTTATTTCTTTTTGTTCCAGGTATGTCCTTGTCGTAAACATTTTTCGTTTCCGTAAGTAAAATGTTGGGTTTCATTCTCGTTTTAGTGCTTTTAACTTTTATTTTGTTGTAAATAGTTGAGTAGTTTTGTGTACTTTTAAGGAAAACACGATCTTGGAGTATGGACGGATAATTCTTTTCGTGTAGTTTTGTACGTGGGAGGCGACTATACGTTAATTCATTTAATAAATCCGGTTTTCGTTTAGAGTTTTTGGATTACTCTTTACCAATTATTTTTGCATCATTGAAGAGAGATCAATACTCTACACTAAATCTTACGTATGATCACAGATTAAAATATGTCTCCTTAATTATGTGTAGCTTTAGAAAGAACATCAACGTTTCTCTAAATACAAGTTGCTTACCAAATACAGAATCTTATGATCAACGGTAAATTGCCAACTATAAGATAATAGGGGTGTGAATTAAATGTATTTTTTTACCGTAAAATTGTAATGAACTTTTAAAGTAAATAACAGGGATGCGATTATGTTTTATTACAAGTGTTCAAACAGTGATAACTCATACGTAAATATCAAACGTCATACCTTTGTGATCGTTAGCCAATTTACTATTGAACATGGCTTTAACTTTCCTTTCTTTGACTAATTGGTCACGCTTCTCAAAGTTATGAAGACGTTCTTCAAATCGTACAATTAATGCTGCGGTTAAATGTTAGGGTTGTAACAATGGACATGAATATAA